TATAATATAAATATGATATAAATCTTATGAAGATAATGTGTGCATACATGGACATATATTTGTCCAAACACATGAATTATGTTTCTTTTGAATAGCAGTATAGTCTAAATAAAATACTGATTGATTGGTAGGTAGGATCTAGCTCCACATAACAATAGCAGCTGTGGCTCAAAAGGACTTAATTTTAAAAACAGGAAAAAATTCAATATTAGGAAAGTTATTAATATCCACCATTAAAATATTGAGTGGAAACAGTTCTTTCCTAGATCATGAGGTAGGGACGATTTTTATCTTTTTTTTTTTTTTAAGAAAAAGTATATTCTTTATACTAGTCTGACAATGTTTAAGCATTGCAAGTTAAACTTCCCTCAGGCTGTTTTCCCTGCTTTGCTTTATTCTGATTATGGGTGTTTTTTTTTTTTTTTTCCCCTGCTATCAAGGCCCCTATGCTAATAGTGCAAGACTTGAAACTATTTAAATAAATAGTCTCCTTTTATATGTAACATTAACTACAAATAGAAATATTATCTCCATTAATATTTATTTGTAGGTTATATATGGGTGTTTTTGGTGTATACCACCATAATGAGAACAACCTACATCTTTCAAAAATTGATTTGATGTTGTAACAATGTGCCGCTCACGTCTGTGGCAGAACTGGTATGCCTCCCCTTTCTACCTTCAGTGTATTAGAGGATGAGTTTCTCCCCGAGGACAGAAGTGAAGTCCTTGTTGTGTCCTCCTGGCTGACATTGGCTTTGCGGATCTTAGGTCCCAAGTGTCAGTCCTGAGAGGAGACTTTGGTTTGCTGAAGTACTCTGTAACAGGTATTTTCATCTTGTTGCTTCTTATAAACAGTGGGGGCTTGGGCTCAGCCCCTGAAATAGAAAGAAATCTAAGTGAGTCCATAATTGAAACACTGAAGATAGCTTCTGCCTTCTTCCATAGCAAGTGATATTTTAAAAATATATTAAATTTAGGTGAATCAGAAGCACCTCAAATTAATTAAAGAATCTATTGTCATCTTAATTTCCTACCACTTGCTCATCATCAGTGAGTTGCTTGTTCTAAATCATGCAGAATACATCATTTCACTCTTAGAAATAGATGGGGTGTGGGCCAGCCAAATAGCTCAGTGAATTAAAGCGTCTGCAAGCAGGCACAGGGCCGGGGGTTTGATCCCCAGACCTGCTGTGCTGGCCTGACCCTGGAATGCACTGAGGTGGCAGTTGAGTAGGGTATGGTGGTATGCGCCTGTCATCCCAGCTCTTGGGAGGCTGTAAATAGGTGGATTGCTATGATTCCGATCTAGTAGTGAGACTCTGAACACCCTGTAGGCCCTTCCTAAAATAAAAAAAGAAAAAGAAAGGAAGAAAGAAAGAAAGAAAGAGAAAAGAAAAGAAATAGATGGGATGGATAGGAATGACTTTTGACAAAGAGTAAGGAGAAAGAGAAAGGACCTGGCTGGGGAAAAGAGAGAGAAAAGCTTGTGCTTCAGACAGACAAAATGAAGGACAAACAAGGGAGGTAAAACGAACTGTAGTCATAAGACATTTCCAAGGCCAAAGTAGTTGTCTCCAAACAGGTATGGGGAGTTGGTAAGATGCTGAATGTGGTATTAATGGAGAAAAGAAGTCATGATTTGAATAATTCTTACACAAAAAATCATCTAGGCATCTAGAAAATGGGGCCACAGATAAGGCAAGGTTGACCAGAAATCACAACTATCATGGGTCTAGACTTTCCCTGGAGTCCCAGAGCAAGGCCATGGGTGCTCTCATTTCTAAACTATGCATAGTAGTGCTGGTTAGCACCTAGAGTGATTTTTGGATATGGTTAACTCTGGGGTAGACAGAGCCCAGAGTGGCCTTAAGGAACTCTAATTGTTTACTGTCTCATTCTTGGAATAAAGAAAATTTGGAGAAATAACATGATGGTATGTGGCCTGGGGCTGCTCTCCATCATTATTGTTAGCTTGCTTTAAAGCTAGACACTTCTGAACTTATAGGGCTGCTTCATTACGCTATTCTAGACCCATGAAGAACTTTCCACAGCCATTTTTTTCTTTCATTTTGGAAAGCAAATGCCTCTTGTGGGACAGACACTCTGAGAAACAAGACAGCAGGATAGCAGGAGCTATAGGTGCAGTCATGCCGACTAAATGAAAGGAAGCCCTGCATTGGTCTGAAAGTGGACAATGATCTCTTTCTTTGCTTTCAATTGATTCTTTCAGGCCCAGATTGTAGGCTGGTACCCAGCCTTTGGCAATAAAACTCCTTCTTACTGTATTTCAGCTACCCCTTAGGGAACCTACTGGAGCTGGTGTAATTTACTGTTTTTCTCTGGCCAACTTAGTTTCCAGTGAATTGTTTAGCTCCATGACAGTTAACCAAAACTCTGAGATCATTGTCCACTTTTAGACCAATGCAGGGCTTCCTTTCATTTAGTCAGCATGACTGCACCTATAGCTCCTGCTATCCTGCTGTCTTGTTTCTCAGAGTGTCTGTCGCACAAGAGGCATTTGCTTTTCAAAAGGAAGGTGAATTTATGCTAAATTTATGTGTATGAGAAATTGAGCCAGTGTTGTCCCTTAAGAGTTGAATTAGAAATCACTTTTTGTGTTTTATTGTTTTTCTTCTAAAAACACAGATTGTTAAAGTTTGCCACTACTCAAATTATCACAAACTGTACTTAACCTTTTGGTAATTCATTATTTCCTTCTGCTCCTTGACTTGGCACTCTAAATCAGTTAGAGAAAGAAAAAGAATGAATTTACAGACAAAAAAATCCACAAACTCTGTGCACATCTATCTTAAATATGCTATCCTAATTCTTTGTTTTTCATTTGCATACCAAACTAAGTGGATTTTCCAGTGAAAGATTCTTCTTACTTTGAGTAAATCATGTGCTGACCCTTAAGGGAGAGAGGCTGACATAACTATCTCCTAGTTTCTGATTTTATGGAAATTTACAGAAACAGCCAAATAAAATTATCTGTCATAATACTCTTTAAAGTGATGTATTATATTTTTAAATATTAATTTTGTCTAAGTTTTACCCATCTTTTAATTTTAAAGCAAGAAGATTTTCTTTCCTAGCATTCTTCCCATGTGATAAAATATGTATGTTTCTTCTGTTATTGAAATTACGTGGCTTAAGGAAAATTTCTTCTGAAATAATTTTAATTACTTTATCAGTTATGTTTTCTCTCTGGAAACCTCAGGGCTATGCCAGAGAAATTTAAGTGACACAATTTGTCTTTCTTTATTGTTCTACCAAAAAAGTTATATCTGCATAACATACATTTAACAGAATATACAAAACACTTACAATAACACCACAATTTCAGTTTCTTTATAGCTTCTATTTTTAGTTTTTAAAAGTTCCTATTTTCTTCGATTTGCAGGTGGCTATTCTTGCTTTGTCCTTAGTGGAAAGGACCTTTTTTTCAAAAGAAAAATTCTTAGACAAGAAGACTTAGCCTCTGCCACAATGTTCTGAACAGCAAGAGTGAGAACAATTCTCATATTACATTTATGAAAATGAAAGAAAACATGCAAGCATTTACTGAGTGGAGACCTAAAACCTCAGCATGGCTAGCATTTAGAAGATCATGGACCATAGGAGCCCCAAGTCGCCCTGTGATTACCTGGTTGGCTCCCTCTCTGCTGCCAGCACTTCTGATTCTGTGGCTGAGTTTGCAGGTGAGTTGACAGCAGGAGGAGATTTAGCTGCGGATGGCTTCCCAGCCTTCACTGTGGGTGCCACTGCCCAGTTCCTTCTGCGGCAAGTTAAGAAGTTTATCTCAGCCAGCTCCGAGTGAACCAACGCTGAGACCCATTGTTTCTCTGATTAAAGAAATATTGGGGAGAGGCAAGTTGGCATTATCACATTGGCTGGAAACACAGGATTGGTTCTGTTGTTCAGAAAACCCAGTATAAAAGGCTAGCAGTAAATTCTTTAGGGAGTACCTACAGGTGAGGACACATTTCTGCCCAAGAGTTGGTTTCTGCTGCTGTGATGCTGTAGGTGCCCTAGGCAGGTAAATCACGGAGATGTTCAACCCTGAAGGGCAGTGGAATTGCTTTAAAATATGGAGAACAAAAGCCATCTCTATATGCTACTGCTGAAAGTATAAGGACACTTAGTCTGATATGACCGTATTAAAGCACAGTCTGATAGATAAAAATAGTTATAAGCATATCTAGAAATACATACATTAAAATGTTCACTGGAATGATGTGCAATTTTTTTGATTGTTCTGTCTCTTTTTATTCTGGTTCATTTGTTCTTTTCTCTCAACAGTTAAGTACTCATTACCTATGTAATTTATTAATTGTTACTTTTTTTTTTTTGGCAGAACCGGGGATTGAACTCAGACCTTTGTGCTTGCCAGGGAAGTGCTTATTCTACTGAGCTACCTCCTGGCTCCTGTTACATCTTTATTTACTTTTTTTTTTTTTTCGGAACCGGGGATTGAACTCAGGTCCTTGCACTTGCCAGGGAAGCGCTTACTCCACTGAGCCATCTCCCCGGCCCTTTCCTGTTACACCTTTAGACTGAAAAAAATAATTAAAAAGAATAAAGATCCATTGCCCCCAAGTATAGTACTTGTCAATTGCCTGCAAACAGTCTTGAGTTCATGAGATAAGCTGTTATTTCTAAAAGATTCCCCAATTTAAAACATTAGTTTGTCCCTAACACTCTGGTCCTGAGATTATCAAAGAGAGGTCCCAGACCAGCATTCCCAGAGTCACTAGGTACTATATCAGAAGTGCACTGTGTGAAGACCAGCTGGGTTTAACTACTGTAGAACTTAAGGTTGTTGTTGGGAATGGCAAGTAATATTCACGGAGCAAGAGGAGGAGCCAAAGGAGGTAGAGAGATGACTGAGTTGATGGCTTATGTGGTAATTAAAAGCGTTTAGAATGTGGAACATGGAAGGCTGTGTTACTGCCATCCAAAGCAAGGAAATGGGCTCTGCGTTCAAGGTTCTGAGAAGGCCAGAAGATGTGCTCAGGGAGATTGGCTGTGTGGAGTCAGGAGGAGAAGTGCAGAGCAGCTCTAGCTCAGAATAAGGCCTCTTCTGGACACAAGTAGTTTGTATCACTCCAGTGAGTTCAGTTTGAGGCATTCTGTATTTTGGATTCACTGAATGACTAGTATGCATGTGGCTGAATATACAGCACTACATGATTCTGATACATAAACAGTGGGGAAATAATAGTGCAGCATCATCTTTCCAAACCCAAGGACTTTGGCAGATTCTCAATTTCTGACGGTAACTTGAGTTCAGTATTTAGAGGTATTTATCTTCATCTCACCTTTTGTACTTGCATGAAGCATCCACTGTAGAACTTCTGCCAGAGAATCGGTGCGTAAAATGTCACAGAGCTTTGCCAGGATCTGACAGAGAAAAGTTACATAGTGAACATGGAAATGTTACAGGGTTTGCAAGGGTTCTTTCAGCTCCAAAATCTTACATTCCCCAAATTTAGTCTGTATGTGAAATCCACTGGGATTTTAGTTTAGGAGCCAGATTTCAACATTACACAGTGAACCTTAGCAAAGCACCACTTGAACTGTAGTAGTTTAGGCAGTGCTGTGTGCATTTCTTGTCTTACATCTGTTCAGCTCCACATCTTCAAGTAGGATCAGTTCACCACGGTTGGGGGACAAATCCTTTCCCACTGTGCCATGGTTAGAGCACAGTTCTGCTAGTTACAGAACTGCCCCATCCACACTGCTCCTTCCCATCCTGTGAGTAAGAGCGATGTGGTCTGAGCGGGATTCATCTTTGCATCTCGGTTCTTTATACCTCAGGGACTGATCCAGTGGGATAGGAATGTAGATCTGTTTTGCCACTCAGAATGATAGATAATTATATAT